GGGCGGTGAGGTTCCTGACATCGTTGCTTACAGCCAAATCGCGTAGTGATGGTGATTCAACAAAGACAGTGCGGTGGACTTTGAAGGAGGCAGGTCTGCCGGTGTTCTGGGGGAACAGATAGACATAGGTATCACCACTCTCGTTCCAGAGTTCAGGAATCTAGCCAAGAGAGGTTACAGTTAGCCAGGAACTTAGAAAGCAGTCGGGAAAAGTTCCCCCTGTAGCGTTCGCACAACAGCTCAAGGCGATTTCAGTACGTACCTGGTCTCCCCGGGCCAAAGGCTCCAGATCGTAGAGGATCTTTTGTTCCAATCCAGCAATCCAGGCACTGGGTCCTGCAGTGGTAGTGGCCGGTCGGGGATCTACAGAGCTCGCGCGCGCCCGTCCGGGCATCCAGCTCCGTCTCTTCGATGAAGATGAAGGGGTTCCGGGGCGCGAATCAGGACCTGAACCGGGTACAAACAGACCCGCGGCACTGGAGGGTCGACTGCCACTTCTTCCGCGACCTCTGCTCTGGGGCCTGCCATCTGGAGAGTTGTGAGCGCTGTTGGCCAGGTCCTGGTTCACAGCCAGTAGCGACGGGGGTGGCTGCAGCGGTTCATCCAAGTCGAAGCCATCGTTGGGGATGGGGGATACGGGCGTCCGAGCGTCTGCATAGTCGCTTTGAGGGTTGGAGACTGCACGAATGGGTCGGGAGGCGCTTCGCGGGCGTGCATCCTGCGGCAGCTGGTCGGGGGAGGAGGGTTTCGGAAGGTTCGGAGATGCAGGCGATGATGGAATAGAGCTATCCCTGTTGGACCCCAGGGAAAACAGGGACGAGATGCGCTTGGCGGACTTGACCGGAGCAGACAGCATCTTCAAGGCCGCTGGCTAGTTGGGGGGCAAAAGCAAAGGGTCAGTTCCCCGGGCGCAATGGAGAGTGTGCACGAAGCCGTGAACAAACAATTGGGGGGGATGACGAGGAAAGACAAGAAGTCGAGACGAAGACACACCGTCGGGTAGAGGGGAAGTATGACGGGGAAGCACCACCAGGCGCTGGCAGTGGCAGGGACGGCACTTACCTTAACAAGTGCAGAAAGCAAGAATGCGGCCAACCATGCAAAAACCCTCTAGACAGCAGACGGGTTTGAACGAAGAATCCGCGGCGGGCGACTGGTGTAAGTCGCTCGACGTGGATTGAGGAATGGATCGGCAGGAGGGATCCAGAAGGAGGGGGGAGGGAGTGAGGAGGGAGGAATGAGGAAAGGTTTTCTGGGCTGGTGGTTTGTTTGGTGGTTCTCTCCGCGGAAGCCGGATACAGCAGCAAAAAATGGAGGAGACAGCTGAAGGGGAGAAATTGAGGCTATCGCCAAAAGCAGCGAAAGAGGATCGTTTTCTTAAGAAAAAGAGAAAAGAGAAAAGCACCGAGATGAAGGCAAAATAATATCGAGAGAGAGAGAGGGTAAAAAAGAAAAAATTATCTCCCAAGAAACCCAAACGAAGGACGAGAAAAAAAAGAAAATGAAAAATAGAATAAAATCGAAAAATAAAAACCCAGCCAGACGGGAACTTAGCGAACAGGCGCAAAACAGAAGAGGGGAAAGAGAAACAGAAGTCAGTGAGGACTGAGTAAGTATTGATGTTACCCAGAGAGGGAAAAGGCTGGTATGGTTTATTGAAGGCAACAGGTTATTATTAAGCCCTCCAATGGACGAGTATTTTTAACCCACGAGTGGAGCCACGGCAGCAGGAGGGATTGAGGAACTCTGATTGTGCATCAGATTCAAATCACAACCTCTGCTACGGATGATGTGATTCAATGGTTCAGTGGTGGTGTAGTGGTTAGAGGATGGGGGAAAGTGGAAGAGGAAGAAGAAGGGAAAATCAACCAGAAGGGTTCCAGGGAGACCCCCCCAAAAGTGATGATGGTGATGATTTATAGAGCCGAAGTAAATCCAGCAGAACCCGAATTAGGAAGAGCTAAAAAGCGCAGTGGTTCCTCTTATTATTCACCAGTTCGTGTTGGATAATATAATGATCCTGATGTTCTAGGGCCAGTTTAGCTGGTCTGCTGTTCGTTCTTTGGGCTTCCGGTGGGTTTCGACCAGTGGGGAATGTTGCTCTTAGCAGTTTCTTCTACTGTACGGAGTAAATAACTTAAGCCCAACGGAGGTTGCCATCGAACCACTTTATATGATCTCATTTCCTTTTGGCTCTCCTCGCCATCTCCCGTTTGTTTCTCAACTAAAACTATCCCTAACCCCTCCATCCGTGGGTTTCCTACTGGAGACAGGAGACTAGGGGAGTTGTTAGCTTAACTCGCACTCTGTTCGGTAGGCGCAAGGTGTGTGAGTGAGTGAGTGTGAGTGGGCTGGCCAGAGGCAGTGCAGTGTTTCTGGTTCAGGAGGCTGATGCTCATCGGGTCAGAGCCAGTCAGGATGCGACGGGGCCCTCCTCCTTCCATGCAATCGTCGTGGGGGTTCGGGACAAGTTGTCTGCAACTAAATACTCCTACTCACTCCTACTATTCTACTAAGGCTGCCAGTTGTTCGTTCTATTTATTACTCGGATTCCCAGCTCTCTCCTGGTGTCTGTTGCGTGGTTGGTAGTAGCTTAAGCAGCAGAGCAGCATTGCTTACTGTGTCCACGGGTGCATGTACTTTGTAAGTAAGTATAGTAAGTACCTCACTCAAGGCAGAAACATTCATTCACTGCATGGGGGTTCATTCGCTGATTTTGTTTATGCTGTTACTTTTTTTGGTCCTTTTGTAGTACATTTCCCCTTGTTGTCCTGAGAATTTACTTTTTTTTCCTTTGACATCCATCGTCAGCCTCTCCTCTCTGCGATTCGCATTCATGCTCTCGCAAGGCGTTGTGCCTGCAGCCTCAGGAATTGCAATACGGACTGTTGATCGGATGACGGAATCTCGGCAGATATCCACTCCCTCCGATTCAAGCGCTTTCCCATTCATAAGTTGGGTCTCCTCATTCATAGTCTGATTCTCCTTTCAGAGTCAGCCATTGATTTCCACCCCTCTCTCTTCTCCGGTTCGGCCAACCATGGACGGGACTCGATCCGTTTCCTTGGTCGGTCATGTTTCCGACTGACTTGTCTACCTCACCAATTAATATATAATCTGCCTGGGACCGTCTACACGGTCCCTCTTCAAAGTTAGTAGTAATAGTAGTTTGGAAAAAGTGCACCCTCCCCTTTCTGGCCCAGTCAAAATCTGCGCGATTACGACCTTAGTCTACAATCGGAAAGTCTGTAACAAAAGGAGAGGCACAGGAGCCATGACAGGTGGATTGGCATCTCCGATCCAGGGGCTATCGGACTCCGCCATGCTTACCACAAACTCACACAACATACCTTGAGTTGCCGCTGGCACGTCGCACTGGAATCCAGCCAAGCGAGAAAACCTGCCGACAATTTCCACTGCAAAAACCGACAGCTCGCCATCGTTAATCAGTACCAATCGATGGATAGATCAGTACGCCATGCTTGCCCTGTCCTCTCTCATTGGACTGGCGAGTAATAAACAAGAGAAAATATCTACTAGTCGTCCTGCCAGAGAGGCAACTTATTGGGAAGATCTAAGCTACTAGACCTAAAAGAGGGGGAGAGAGAGAGGGAAGGAGAAGCTAAGAATAGTAGCCACCACCACTGGTCCTTCGTGGTACTTACTTTTATTTTTCTAGTTTATTTTTCTTTTTTTCCAATCTGTTTGCTAGTATCTACTCCGTACTTACTCACTACTCTGACTTTTTGTTCCTCTTCTTTTCTATGCGATTCTTTCCCCTTGCTTGGCTTGCCTGCTTAAGTAGAGGCGCTAACCAGCGGCGCTACTGTACGGGGAAAACTCAGAAGAGAGATGCTTCATCTCTAGCGCTGTGCCTGCATTACCCGACATGGAAATAGAAGCCACGCACTCGGACATACGTAATTTCGTCCTGAAAGTGATGCCTAGGTTGACGTTGTCCGATCGGGTCTTTGACCCCGTACTCCGTTTCGATTGATCCGGGTGAGCCATAGGTGTTTTACTTTGGGGAATGGACGTGTCATCCTTATTGATCTGGGCCTTGGGACCTCAGGCAGCACATTTATGTATAGTACCCCGTCTGTATTCCCGGAGCGCCCGCCTCACGCATCTTTTGCATAACTCCCGAGCAGCCAACCCCTTTCGGGCCACTATGTACTACTACTTAGTACTAGTAACTACTGTGGTCACGGCTTTTCAACTCCAACCAACCGTTCCCAATAGTTAAATATTGCATGGTGGATATTCATAATAGATAATCAATAATCAATAATCAATAATATTTTTGTACAGACTTTGGGTAATATCCTCCTGTGAAATTGCTCCATCTAATCTCCAAAATTAGCCTGTTCTTTTCATCTTCCTCTTTCCTCCTGACGGGGAGTGACCGAGCGCCCTGAAGAGATGCCGCACCGGCATCGGGCGGTGCGAAGACAGGATCTGCCCCGCGCCCTGAACAAATACCCCGTGACTTGGTCCCGTCGGCTACGGAACTTCCGTTGTTCCCCCCCTTTAGACTGCTTCCAGAAGCCAAAGTCACACCTAAGTCATGGATGAATGCCCCTCCTGATCCGCTTACTTACGCGATACTTTTCTCTTGACTAACGAGTCATCATTAACTTACTAATTACGTGACTGGGATAGAGATACTATACTACCCCAATTAAGTCCACTAACTTCTTTAGTGAATGCCAAGGACTGTTCTGGGAAAGTAGAGTCGTTCATCATCCAGTGTCACTCTATCGTTATCAATTTATATAGCGACGGAAGACAAACCACACCACTACCTGAGACAACACATAATTTATAACCTCTTGCTGTTATACGTGCCAGGCCCCGCATATTGGAGCTTCTGACGACTACCATTACTCATCACTCAGATCAATTCAAGTCACCAATCTAATTACTATTCAAAGAAAGACTAACTACTACCACTTTGTTGTACTCCGATCTGTCACGCAACCAACCAACCAACCAACATCATGGACGTTGAGCAGGTCGATCTTTTCCGTGGTTGGCCCAACCCCGCCTTGCTGCCCACGACGGCCTTGGCTGAGGCCTCTGCGAAAGTGTTGGCCACCCCGGCCATTTGGACTCCGGCCTTGATGTATGGCCCCGATGAAGGGTACCAGCCGTTGCGCGAACACATCGCTCGCTGGCTAACGACGTTCTACCAGCCACGCGACCGCATCACTCCCGAACGCATTTGTATCACGGGTGGCGCCAGTCAGAATGTAGCCTGTATTCTGCAGGTCTTTACTGATCCTGTCTACACACGCAATGTTTGGATGGTCGCACCCGCCTATCATCTCTCCTTTCGCATCTTTGATGATTCCGGGTTTACTGGTCGCCTGAGGGCCGTTCCCCAGAGTGATGCGGGGTTGGATTTGGCCTATCTCCGACAGGAGCTGCTTATTGCCGAGGAGCGGGCAAGGAGGGAAGATAATAACGCACCGGTACGTTGGTCTGCTTTGGTCTGCAGATGGACGTTTACGTCCTGCTTTTGAGATGCTAAGGGGACTGAAATGGCTCATATGACTGACTCCTACAGAACTACAAACCTACTAGGCCATGGGGTAAAGTCTACAAGCATGTCATCTACGCTACCCCCGCCTTTTCCAACCCGTCGACGCTCACCATGTCCTTGCCTGATCGGGAGAATCTGGTTCGTCTCGCGCGAGAATTTGACGCCTTGATCATCACCGATGATGTATATGATTTCCTTCAGTGGTCACCCGACCCAGCCAAGACATTAACGCAGCCCAACAGGGCGCATCTACCCCGCCTGGTGGATGTAGACCGCTATCTGGATGGGGGACCCGGGGATGACTGGGGTAATGTGGTGAGCAATGGAAGTTTCAGCAAGCTGATCGGACCCGGAATGCGGACAGGTTGGGCGGAGGCTACCGAGAAGGTAGCGTATGGTCTGTCACAAGCGTACGTGATCCCGTGAGGTGGTCTTGCTGACTGCTCTCGCCTGTCCCTTGCTTTATCCTCCCCTACCTGGTAGGCTAACTTTTCCCTGGACAGAGGCTCAAGTCGGTCCGGAGGCGCACCGTCGCATATGTGCGCCGCTATCATTGCGCAGCTGTTCCCCACGGGGATTGTACAAGACTTCATTGGCGATGTTCTGCAACCGGCGTACGCCCGCCGCTACCACCGGATGATGTCTGCCATACGTGAGCATCTTGTTCCCCTCGGCGTGGGGCTTCCCCCAGTTTCTGATGTGGCAGGGGGTTACTTTATCTGGCTTCGACTCCCACATCCATTACGGTCGAGCGAGCTTGTACCCATCGCACTGCGCGAACAGAATTTGATCGTAGCATCTGGTAATGTCTTTCGGATAGATGGAGATGCGGCAGGCGACAAGAACGACTTTGACGACGGCATGCGCCTCTGCTTTGCGTGGGAGCGTGAGGATAGACTCGAAGAGGGGGTGCGTCGACTTGCATCGGTCATTCGTGAAGCTCTCAAGTAAACCAAATGCTGGCGGCCGCTGCAAGGATGGCTACCAAGGGTGGACGGGCGGATCGGACCGCCTAGGACCTTGGTCTGGAAGAACTGTAGTATGTTGTTGATTATGGACGAACCACACACCCCATTACAGGATAGTCGTTGAGTGCCGAACGGTTGAAAGCTCGTCACGCTCCAGATTATCTCTCCTTGGCGCAAGATGAGAAAGAATGGCCTGGGGTCGAGTGATGCGAACGGAGGCGGTGGGCGGCCAGTCAAGGCGCGAGGCCGGGGAAGGCAGATGACTCGGGGCGAGCATCTGCACGGCACCTGCAGCCAACTTGCATAAATAGACCGCAGTAGCGCAGTCAGGGCACTTTTGGAATCACTGGCTGCAGGCCAAACATCACGCTTTCCCGACACACATTGTTCAGCGCCTACTCCTGCAGCACAATGCTTGAAGAACCTTGGTCTTTTTTTTTTTTTTCCGCCCGGAATGGACGCGTCAAATAACTCCTTGTGCCAAGGGATGCCGCAGCGGAATCAGACGGGCACCGCACACATTCTTCTCGCGTTCCAAACCCAGAATCGTTGTCTAGCTAAATCATTCAAACATGGCGGAGTTCAACAAACAATCCGGCTTCCGGGCCGACCGTCTAGATAATCAGGACTTTTGGTCGAGTCCGTAACGCTGTACAACTTCTGGACCATGCAGGTGATTACTGCTGCTGCCGAGGCTAGTTGATGACTAGGTGTTTCACGGGTAGACCACGACCCAAGGTTAGCGGCCGATCAGTCGGGTTGGGTTAATTAAGGAAGAAGACTGTCTCCTCTGCGGAAAGCTTGGTGCACTGATTCCTTACCCACCGTGTAGGATATTTTTATCTCGATCGAGGGGAAAAGAGACGGGAAGACTGAGACATATCGGACCGTGGACTTGGCTATCTACTTTGTAGTATCATGTACTCTATATGAGAAAGGAAGATTCAAGTTGTAGACCACCAGTTAACCCTTGTCCCATTCTTTATTGGTGGGAGAGAAGTGGTTAGTTAATTTCTGGATTTTGCCCCTGGATGATCCCCCCTCAGCTCTCTCACTTTCTCGCCTCTCTTTCCCTCGCCCGGGCCCACCCGTCCATGCAGGACCAACCTTTTTCTTCCCGCCTGAGTCAAGGTATCTACCAACCTTGAATCCAAGGGACTGGCTGACGACTAATTCTTACAGTCAAACAGTATGCGCAAAACTATAATCCGCCGAGAGTATACGTACTTATGGCTATGCCAATGGAACAATTAGCTTTCTCGCCATGGACTAGATATATCTGACGCAGCAAGTGAAGCTTATCGAGATGAGGATGCCACGGCTGCCCGGGAGCACCGACATTACTGCCCAGCCTGGCGTCGGGGGAACAATGGACCACGAGGAATGTCTAGACCTGCTCAATCAGGCAGCCTCCCCAGCACTGCAATCACAGTGGAAAACTGGTGAGCAGAGCCCGAAATTTCGTCCCCATTGAGACATACCGTATGGCGGGTCAAATGCAGCATGGCAAAGGAGGTGTTCCGTCCACAGGGTTCGCCATCCATACCAATGCCTGAGTCTAGTGCGTAGCGACCAACTCGCTGCCCTGGCGCGCTGTCAAACGGGCGAATTCCAGCAACAAGCCATGCCGGACGATCGGCTCTGCAGCCATGGCCGAGCGATTGAAATGCCCAGTTGTCTTCGATCTGGGCCACGGCGAATATGTTGATCAAAACCCTGCCAGGTATATTAGCCTACCGGGTCCGCTGATCGACTGGAGATTTTGACCTTTTCCCTTTGGCTTGTTTCCTCCTCTTCCTGCCTCCTCCGCCTCTCCTTTTCCGACTTCCTGGGCTTGTGCTTTTCGGATCGGATCAGATTTCGTTCGTTTTGTTTGTCGGCGACGCAGCATTGGGAGGTAGCCTATCCCTCGTTCAGTCACTAGTTACGGTTTACTAGAGAGTCGTGGGACTCTTTGCCATTCGCTCTCTTCGGTCGTTCCTTGAATATCCGGCAGCCTAGACTATCTGGCCCACCAGCATTGGGGAGTAGGACTAGTATAGTAGTGCGTGTGCGTGCGTGAGAGTATACAACTATACACGCGAGCTTCGGTAGGTAATTAGTCCATTGCAGACTCTCCCTCCCGCACTTTCTCCCCACCATCACCAGCATCTTCACCACACACAAGCTCTCTGCATGGCCCACCATGCATGACTCCAGTCAGTTCGGCAGAGTGCAATACTCTCGCTATCAGGAATATCATGTCCATAGCAAGCGACCGCTAAAAAGATTGCCACCAATGAATCCCGACTAACCCCCGGTCTAGTGCTTTATCGACTCGTTTCATCCCCTGACCCAGGCGTTTCAAGCAGCGGTCGGCAGACGACGACTATCGCAGGTAATTGGTGTGAGTGGAGCGATCGGGGCGCGTGATTGGACCTTCAGCAGCTTTTCTTGCAGACGGACCTCCACCATCTGGCGATAGTCAAGCAGTAATTTCCAGCGACGGACAAGGCATCGCAGTCCAGCCAGAACCAATCGTCGGGTCAGGAACGGGGCAAGTTTGTGTGCCTGGATCCATTGGTCCCTCCCGCGGGTGCCAGCAAATCTTCTGTTCCCTCCCCCTCCACTTTATCCCGGGTGTAATAACCTTCATTTACATCGGCCGTTCCCTTCACATCCTAGCTTTGTCGTTTCTTTTTTAATTCTCTTTCCCCCGTCCTTTCTTTCCCTCGTCAGTTGTGTCTGTCTTTGTCGTGGGAAAAAGGCAGTTTTCGAGTGTTACTGTCTTGCTGTGTGTGTTGTGTTTTTGTGTGTTTTATTACATTCATTCCTTTTCTACTACTTCTTCTTCTCCCCTGGCGGCTGATACGCGCCCCCATACATTCCTTGCTCTTCCCTACTTACTACTCCAACTACAACATCCTATCCAGTCCACCGTCTGACCCCGTCGTGTGACAGACCACTTCTGTTGGTGCTCACACGATCTTGTCTGGATATTTCTTCAGTACTGGTTACTGAAGTGTTGGTCGCTCGTCAGCGTTCCTCCTTACTATATTACTGTCCCTTCTCGCTCTTCTGTTCTCTGCCGGTTCAGTGAACCTCGCTGTCTTGACGATGGCGTCTCTCCACACTTCCATCATGTTGTTTGTGTCGTACGTCTGTCTGCTACTGAGTGTGCCAGTGGCCTTGGTCAATGCCGTGCCTACCTCCGGGTCTGTCGATGTGACATCGCATCTGGCGGTGCGCGCCTCCGACTACTGGGTTGGAACCATCAAGCGTCAGGGCACTGTGCCGTTTGGCAACACCACGAGCAGCTATGCAATCTACCGCAACGTCAAGGACTATGGTGCCAAGGGTGAGTCAGACCTCCTTACATGGCTGGTATTTGATGCTGACTACTGCAGGTGACGGATCTACCGATGATACTGATGCTATCAACAAGGCCATCTCTTCTGGTGGCCGCTGCGGTTCCGGCTGTGACTCGTCTACCACTACCCCGGCCCTAGTGTACTTCCCCGCAGGTACCTACGTGGTGTCCAAGCCCATTGTGCAGTACTACTACACCCAGATGGTCGGCGATGCCAACGACCTGCCTGTCCTCAAGGCTGCCTCGAGCTTCAGCGGTATGGCCGTCATTGATGCCGACCCCTACGACAGCAACGGCGACAACTGGTACACCAACCAGAACAACTTCTTCCGTGCCGTTCGCAACTTCGTCATCGATCTGACCGCTATGCCCGCTTCCTCGGGTGCTGGTATCCACTGGCAGGTCGGCCAGGCTACCAGTCTGCAGAACATCCGCTTCGAAATGGTCAAGGGTGGCAGCAACAACAAGCAGCAGGGTATCTTCATGGACAACGGATCCGGTGGCTTCATGTCTGACCTGACCTTCAACGGCGGTAACTACGGTGCCTTCTTCGGTAACCAGCAGTTCACCACCCGCAACCTGACCTTCAACGACTGCAACACCGCCATCTACATGAACTGGAACTGGGCCTGGACCTTCAAGTCGGTGTCTATCAACAACTGCCAGGTCGGTCTGAACATGTCCGCCTCTCCGTCCAACCAGACCGTCGGGTCCGTCCTGATGCTGGACAGCACGTTCACCAGCACCCCAACTGGTGTCGTGACTGCCTTTAGCAGCGACAGCATTCCCACCGGTGGCGGTGCCCTGGTCCTCGAAAACGTCGACTTCTCCGGCTCAACAGTTGCCATTGCAAGCGTGAACGGCGACACCATCCTCAAGGGTGGGTCCGTTGTCTCGAACTACGTGCAGGGCAATGTCTACACCCCGGGCAGCAGCAACAACAGCAACAACAGCACCGTCAGCAAGCGCTCCCCTGCCGTTCAGGCCGAGGATGTTCAGGTGATCACCCAGACTATCACCGAGACCATTACTGCCTGCGGTGCCGACTACGCCACTGAAACTGCTGCAGGTTCGTTCGGAACTGCCTCTGAGGTTGGAGCGGAGGGTTCGACTACGACCGCCGCTGGTGGTGTGGTGCCTCTGTCATCCATGTCTGTGCAGTACCCCGCCGCTGGTAGCTACAGCTGGGAAGGTTTTGACAGCGAGACCTCTCAAGCCACCACGGCCACCAACGAGGCTTCTGTCCCTGCTGCCGGAACTTCTGCTGGATCGACTCCTGCTGAGCCTACTTCCCATTCGGCCGGTGCCTCTGTCGTCGCCCAGGGCTCCGGCTCTGCCTCGGCTGCTACCAGCACCTCGTCTTCCGGCTCTTACTTCGGTACTTCCAGCAACTCCACCGGCCAGTGCTCAACCAAGACCGTCACCAAGACCCGTATCGAGACCACCATCCCCTCCCAGGCCATGGCCAGCTCTCTTCTTACCAGCTCTGGCAGTGTCTTCGAGAAGTCCAAGCCTTTGTACGGATCGTATGCCGCTTCGTCCTTCGTCAGCGTCAAGTCGGCCGGTGCCAAGGGTGACGGTACCACCGATGACACGGCTATCATCCAGAGCGTCCTGAACAACGCCACCGAGGA